TATATATATATATATAATGTATATATAAGTGGTCAGTAATAAATTCTGTTTTCTTGAAGGTAGTTCTTTGGGCCAGACACTTTTACCCCCAGTCACATTTGTAAAATGTTTACAAGCCCAGTATAGTTTTAACATTCTACTTCTAATATGACCGCATGCTAATCTAAAGACACACAGGGATGAACGCCTTGACTGGCTGTTCAGGTTCTAAGGCATTTGAGGGGGAAAAAAATATTTTTGAGTTGGACTTTGGTCTTTGTCACTTTTCCTACAATCCACATGAACGTTAACCCTAAACCTGTATGTCCTCTCTATGTTTTTGAACATAAAAATATTTGTACTGACTTAAAACACAACTTCACCGGAGGAGGGGGCGTGCCAAAGAGACCATCTTAGCACCTACACAACTGGTTTGTTCCACGTTGGAGTAAGCTGTTGGGGGAAGAATCAGTTTTGTGTTGTGCATTTCCTTGACTGATGAAGCCTTCTGGATGGAAGGTGAAACGTTTCAGCACACAAAAAGAAAGAAAGAAAGAAACTGTCCCGATGACCTGACTGAAAAGTGTTGGACAACTGAACTATGCTCACTGCAAAGTAATGTGATAAACTGAACGAAGATGATTTGATTTCAGAATGTATCTGGCAGATTGTTGGTGGGCCTTCGGTGGTGGAATCAGGTGGATGAAGATGGAAAGAGCCGCTGGATGTTTGAGTCAAGGAAGGTAAACAAGACCCCGTATATATATAATTAACTGGATAGAGGGCTTTGCTTAAGAGCAAACCAGAAAGCCTCTGTAATATATGGAATAAAAAAAAGCAGCATCTTTGCCATCTTTTTTTTTTATTGTGACATTGGCAGCAAAAATTAAATCCTCCAAACTCTGGAAAATTAAACAAATACAAGTGCAACTCCAAGTCAGGAATGGGTATGATTGTAAAGATATGCAACTGGCAAAAAAAGTTACATATTGTATTGAAGGCCTAAAAGAAGGACTTTATGTATTTTATTAAATGGCATCGTGGCTTAATATAAAGTAAAATTGTGATTTTCCTTTTTGTTATTGTGTGTATTTTGTATTCATATCTGGCCTTTTCTGACTGATTGTAATCATAACGATGTAAAAAGTATAACAGGTGTGTTCCCTTTATGGAACTAGAGGAAATGTTTGAATATTTTATACTGTGTTGACTTGATCCTTCTGTGTAAGAAAAATGTTAATTTACCGTGTGTCATAAGAGACGCTTAATATTTAGTTTAAAGTAATTAAATGAAATATTGTTTTCTGTTTTTGAACAGACAAACAACACAACTCCCACGGCAGAATCACAGCTCTTCTGGCTCGGACTTATCATTTGCCCCATCTTCTGGGTTATTTTTGTCTTCAGCGCCATTTTCTCCTTAAACATTAAATGGCTGGTTCGTTCATTGTTTTTAAACACATCAGTTTAAATTAATGGCTGTTATCAGTTCATGTGAAAATCATATTTTTGCTGTTTCCCTGCAGCCTGTGGTGATAATGGGTTTGGTTTTGCAATGGGCCAACCTGTACGGTTACATCAGATGCAAAGTGGGTGGAAAGTCCAGCCTGAAAAACATGGCCAAGAGCTACCTCAGTGGGCAGATTTTCAAACAGGTATGTGATATGTTGTCTGTACCTTTCATATTTTTGATTATAGAAAATTAATTTCAATCTTTTTTGTCTTGCTTTGTGTTTCTCCAAAGGCAATGAAGGGAGCTGAAGCATCCTGACAGTGGAATGGAAACCTGAGGACAAAAAGAAGATGGACGGGTCTCCGTCCTGAGTGGACTCGTATTAATTAATTGAGGTGGTGGACGGTCTTTTTGGGGGAGGGCTCTTTTGTTGCCACATTTTCTATCAGCTGGTGATGTCACTTCCTTTGAGATTCACTTAAAGACAAAGGTAAAAGGTAAAGTTTTATTCGTGTTTGTTATTTAATCATATGTTGGAGGGTGTGTCACTTTCAAGGCCAAACATTAAAATAAGTATTTGTTGTTTTGATGAAGCTGTATTTTTCTTGAATAAAAGTATAAATGACACTCTGAGGTGTTAAATGCCATATATTAAATTTTCTTTACTGATCTGTTTAATAAAAACTCTTGATTTGCAACCAGACTCTTACATTTTACAGAGAATGTATTACAATATGTGTCATCGTTGTATGTTCCCATCTCTGCATTTAACCCATCGCACCTGGGATGCACCCAGGTGGAGCAGTGGGCAGCTATGTAAGCTGCCCGGGGAGCAATTAGGGATTAGGTGTCTTGTTCAGAAACACCACGACATGTGGGAATGGCTGGAGATCAGACTTGGGACTTTCGGGTCCCAGGTCATCTGCCGTACCTCTACCTCATCTTTATTAGTTTTAAGCAAACAGACTTTAACAAAAGAGGTAGTTTTAAGGCTGAATTTTTCTGAGCTAAGTTATTAAAACTAAACTAGAAAATCAAATTTATGTCGAGTGTAGTGATGCTGATCTGACTTCAGGAAAATTGTTGAGCCACAAGGTGGCAGCAAAGTGCAATTTTAATGTAATTTTCATTTACTGTTATATTTTTAAATTGTGTGAATGTCAGTGTCTTATTCCAATAATACAAACTCCACAGGATTATTGTCATGGAGAATAAGGAATAGTTGACCAAAGTTGAATAATGATTTAAACAGTTTTTGTTCTGTGGTGCAAATACCTCCACACATTAATCTACGTCCTTCTGATACTTGTACTTCACTGTATTAAAATATTAAATTTGCTTATTTTTTTCCTCATTCTCTGTTTTACACAGTTTGATTCTATTTCAGGTGAAAACTTCAGTTCCATTTTAATTAAAGAAGAGAGAAGCTGTCCATTCTCATTATTTCTGTTTTAGACTTAACACACACAACTCATCTTTTGGTAAATAAAAAATAAATATTACCTTTTTGTTTGATTTAACAGCAACAATTATAATCCTTTAAATGCAAGTTTAACAGTACAGTTACTCTGATAATGTAGGAAGCAGAAAACAATGAACTGATATTTAAAAAAAAGAACATTTGAGACCTGATTTCTGTACTTGTCAATTAAAAGACGAGCACTGTTTAGATTATTTTCACTCTGATTATTGTTATAATAATATTGTTATAGTCATCAGCATCATTTCTCTGTTTTTATGCTTGAACTTTTTTTAGACAGATTAGTGCAGTTTATTTATAAATTAAAAATAGACAAATATATATATATATATATATATATATATATATAATTTGTTTTAATCTTTATTTACCATTATTGGAAATACAATTACAAATCTGGGGTAAAGTTTATTTACATGTTCTTAAATTTGACTGAATAATTATTTTTTTAAGTGTTTTACCATAAAATGTTCATTTCCTTTCAGCCCAGCTCAGTTTATTTTAAAACAATAAGTGAGTTAAATCATGTTAGGGGTTGCATCAGTACCAGAAATCAAAGTGATTCACTTTGCATTTATACTTCACCATAACACAAGTCATTGCAGTAACGTATGACGAGGCAACGATGAAATAGAAGCAGGAAAAGATCTTATCCCCTCTGTCTGCAATCCTCTCGTACTCTGTTTCCGTCTGCCTGTTGGTCTGAAGAGCTTCCAGGAACTTGACCATCTTTCTGAGCATTAGCGTGTCCTCAGAAACCTCCAGCTGGACGACACTGATGTCAGCTCTGGTCTCTGATGTGGAAGACAAACAGAAAACTTCATCAAGACTCGAGGAGGAAACAGTTCTCATTGTCAAACGTCCAGTGCAGACTCAGTCTAAAGCCTTAATCACCTTCATCCTTGATCTCTTTGCTGTTTTCTTTCTCTCGTTGGGGAGAACTTTGGAAGAAGCTGCACAAATCGAACAACCCATCTTTGGCCACCCGTGTCAGCAGCATGGACACCAGCATGCTCAGCACCAGAAGAACCAGGCAAACACAGAAGTGAGTTCCTGAAACACACAATGCTGCTGTTTGTTTCCTTTGTGTGTGTGTGTGTAAATGCATGTACAGATGTGTAGTTTTGTGAACAGTTGTGTTTACATGTGTGTGTGTGTAAATGCGTCAAATGCGTGCATGTGTACAGATGTGAACAGTTGTGTGTACAGGTGTGTGCATGTGTACAGATGTGAACAGTTGTGTGTACAGGTGTGTGCATGTGTACAGATGTGAACAGTTGTGTGTACAGGTGTGTGCATGTGTGTACAGATGTGTGTACATGTGTTTACAGGTTTGTCTACATGTGTTTACAGTTGTGTACAGATGTGTGCACAGGTTTGTGAAGAGTTGTGTGTACAAGTGTGTGTACAGTTGTGTACAGGTGTGTGTACAGATGTGTGTACATGTGCTTACAGGTTTGTCTACATGTGTTTACAGGTGTGTACAGATGTGGGTACAGGTTTGTGAACTGTTGTGTGTACAGCTGTGTACAGGTGTGTGTACATGCGTGTATGTGTGTGTGTGTGTGTGTGTGTGAGAAGTAATACTAGTCTGAATGAGAGGCAATAGATTTGTGTATGTATGCGAGTATGTGTGTGTGTGTGTACATGTGTGTATAGGTGTGTGTACAGATGTGTTTACAGATTTGTCTACATGCGTGTACAGCTGTGTGTACAGGTGTGTGTGTATAGGTGTGTGTGTGTGTGTGTGTGTGTGTAGGGGGTGTGTATGTTTGTATGTATGTATGTTTGTGTGTGGATGTGTGGGTTTGTGTGTGCATGCCACATGACTCACGGATGATGGGGCTGCACTGGCCGTCTCCGGGGAGCTCGTCGTTGAGGATGCTCAGGAACATGGTAAAGCTGAGCACCAGAGTGATCTTGAACGAGTTGCGTTCGCCTCCTTTCAGCGGCAGAGCAAAGCTGACTATATCGGCTAAAACGATCAGAATCGTGGGCAGCAATAATGTTATGAAGGGGTTTGAATATTTGATGCTCAGTCCCACCTGAAGTGAACACAGGACGCAGTTTTATGAAAGACGTGGTGAAAAAACAATTCTCTAGTCTCTATGACTTTTATATATGACTGATAAATGTTTACTTAATGGGCAAAATTATAAAGACATACTCAAAACAACATCACGCGATGAGTACTTATGAGTAGTCAGTATCTTACTTGCAGTAGATGGCAGTCAGACATCTCAGTTTATAGAATCTGGTAGAAATGTTGTTGCGAGGTTCAAATTAGGGTTAATCTGAGAGTGGATTTTTGCCATCTAACTCATACCTCCAAATTTGTATAAAATTCACATTAGTGTATTATTGTAATCATGTTTGTTGATCATGTGACTCTTTATCATAGGTCTACCTCACAATTGTAAACAGCACTAGCTGTTGTTTGAGTTCTCAAATGAAATTTTGCTTTAGCCGGAGTTGGATTAATAGTTTTTTTTTTTTTTAACCAATGAATCAGATGACTTGGGTTTCTGTTTTTGAACTTACCATGATGTAATTGCGGTCATCTCTTTGTTTCTTGAGAATCGCAAAATCTGTTTGCCAATCTCCGTGGGAACCATCTATCATCTTCACGTCACCCATGTGTAGACTTGTACCACAATCTACAGAGAACACAACTATCCATAACTTTTTTTAAATACTTGGGGATGTTTAATGTTTACAAAAAAAAATTATTTGACAGAATTTTCACTTTGGCGCACCAGTTGAGTACTTATTGAGGAAAACTCCTCACATGAGAATTAAAACGAGTTCAAGAATCAGTTTTCTTTGATTTAACTCTCCATGTCCATGGATGACTGAGAATCTACACCAGCATATTTATTTGTTACACATGAACCAGGTTTATGGTTCCACTTAATCACCAACTTCTCAATGAATATTAACTAATGAGGTTAACTTTATGACAAGTTTGACCTATTCAGCACAATTTATCATATCACAACCTCACTCTGGTTTTAGCCATACATTCTTCGCATGCATTGTTTTATTGCTACCCATTCTCATTTATCACATTATACCTCTTCTCATCCCACAGATCCTTCTCATCCTTCATCCATACCTCTTTGAATCTCATTCATCCAATGTTTCTGACGCTTCTCATCTCACTTATTCTCTTTCAAATTCCTAATATCTCATCCATAATTATCATCATCCCACTAATCGTTCTCATCTTTTATCACTACCTCATCATTCCACTCATTCTTCAAACTTAAGCCCTCAAATCTATTTATCCCTTCATCTCTAACCCTTATCAACCCACTCATTATTTTTCAGCACTATTTTTTCATTTCATTCATCCTCATTTTACTCCTTCACATTCCTCTTTCTCATTCTTCAGTTCTACTCCTTCTTGTCTCATTCATCTCACATCCCTGCCCCTTCTCATCAAACTCATCATTGACCTCCTCATCCAAATCTAATTCTATTCCACTCATTTTCCGTTCCTAATCTTTCTCATCACTCGCAGCCTCTCTCAACTTTCTCATCCTTTTGATCTGCTTACTTTTCTTTTCTGCTTGTCATCCCTCATCAACAAACCTTTCTAGCTTGCTCATTATTATTGTTTATTCATATCCATTTTCATCCCATCCCTCACCTATACCTTTTATCATCTAACTCATCCTTCTCATCCTACTGTATATCTCATTCTTTCTCATCCTCATCTCATAATCTGGCATCAGTGATAAAATGAATCTCAAATATGATGATGCAGATTTTTACAGTATAATGTAACAAATGTGAAAACATAAGAAATTGAGAGACATTTGTCAGTCCCATGAGGACATTTCCAAGGTTTTAAATGAAATTTGAATGTTTGTGCATTAATATCTTAGCTTACCACCCGCTGAAAAACTTTGGATTGCAACAGGACATTCATCCTCAGCGAAGGGGTAGTTGAACAGATTGATTTCGCAGTCCACCGCTGCATTTATGATCACACTGTGTTTCACTGTACCATTACTGAATACCACCAGATCATCAGAGCCTTGCTGCATATCTGTTGTTATTCTACACACATAAGCACAGAGACAACAGCCATCTCAGGTCAACTTTCATTGGTCCATGAACTGACTGTGTCATAACAGGAAGTTGCCTTACTCACCCATTTGTTACATGGAGCTCTGGGGTCCAGATTGTATTTACCGGCAAAATCACTTGATCAAACTGGTAAACTGACGTGTCCCACGCCAATCCTGGATCCAGCCATTCCTGGGTTTCAAAATAAAAGTCTCTGTCATCAAAACATATTTGTTTCTTCGTGGTTTTTTTTATTTTTTTTTATGTGAAAATATCTTTAAACTTACAATGGAAGCAACAAGACGACTATTGAGACGGAGGTTCTTTGTGTCCTGTTCAAATGGAAAAAGGTTAATCAAAACCTTTTCATCAAAACATTTACCGGATTTTTCGGACTATAAGATGCGTTTAAAATGTTCTCAAAAATTGACAGTGAGCCTTATAATCTGGTGCGCCTTATGTATTAATTCTGGTTGTGCTTACTGACCTAGAACTGATTTCATGTGGTGCACGGCGCTCAAAAACCTGTCAAAATGAACTTGTTTCGCTTAACGCACCTTAAAATCCGGTGCGCCTTATAGTCCGAAAAATACGGTAAACCTAAATGTCTATATTAAAGCAGCTTGTTTCAATACTGAATGATAATGAAACGTTTAAGAAATCACTTACAACATCCAGAGTTTGGTACTCAATGAACGGCACCTTAATGAGCAGGGTGCAGTTTTCATACTGAGGCTGAGAAAAGTGCTCTTTGTTGATTAACATTTGAGCCAGACATCTGCGATCTGTGCAGATAGATTCTGCGTGGACACTTCCTGCAATCACACATAATAAATCCAATCCATTTCAAAAGCCATCCTCAGATTTCTAGTGCATCAAGTTACTTTGATATTTGCAATGGTTTTCCAAAATGCACTTACCTATAAAAAGTATCCCCAGTAAGAAGGCTAGTTTCGTCATACATTTAGTTTTTAACTGAAGCCTTTCTGATGACATATTTAGTATTATAGCTGTCGTGAGCTTCACGTATAACGAACGACGGCAGTTTTGTCTCAAAGTGCATCCTGATGGGACTCTTATAGCTTGGTGGACAGCCTTCGGAGACACAATGACGTTTTAGAAAAATATCACGCGATTAATTACTGGTATGTTTCTCAGCCAGACTGTGTAAACAGGAGAAGTGCAAGTGCAATTACACCCATTGTCTGCTTCAGGGTGAGCAGAGACAGGTAGCTCTGCTGTCGTTTGCGGTCATCGCAGACTGCGCTGCTCAGTAACACGATGAGGCTGTGGTTGCCATAAAGGGCAGGAGGTCTGTCATTGAAAATACACTGAAAAGGTTCTCCAGTGATGTAAGCGAGACAAAGACGGGACAAAGCTGTGGTTTCAGTGGTTTGACAAAAGAGACGGGGGTAAAAAAATGCTGTTTTGACAGCCGGATAATAAATTGTAGTTTTGTTTTATAGTTTATTATGTTATATAATGTTGATTCTAAAGGATGCTGACTAAATATTTACTTCCAATAGATATATGAAAAGGTGTGGTTTGTGGCACTATTTTAATGAACGTAATAAATAAAAAAATGATAAATGTTCACCAGGAACAAGATCAAATTTGATTCTAAAAAATGAAATTGAGTTCACAATGGCGGCACGGTGGCTCAGTTGGTGGAGCTGCCTCTCAACGAGAAGGTTGCTGGATCGAATCCTGGCCTTTCTGGGTGGAGTTTGCATGTTCTCTCCGTGCATGCGTGGGTTTTCTCTGGGCACTCCGGTTTCCTTCCACAGACCAAAAACATGCATGTTAGTCTGACTGGTGACTCTAACAGGCGTGAGTGAGAGTGAATGGTTGTTCGTCTCCCTGTGATGAACTGGAGACCTGTCCATGGTGTCCTCCTCCTCTCACACAGTGACTGTTGGATATGGGTACCAGTGACCCCGTGAAAGGATGAAGCAGGTAAAGATAATGGATGGATGGAACTTAGAGCAGTTGTCTTCCAGTGGGAACGGTAGTGTTCGATTGCACCAGCAGTCACATGTTGAAGTGCCCCTGGGCAAGACACTGAACCCCTCACTGCCTCTGTGCGTCCCATCGCTGTATGAATGTGATCTAAAGGCTCTGATTGGTCTCAGAATGATTTATTTAATTATCTTTGTAGAGATGGAGAAAAGAGTATGAATGTGTGTGTGGAGGTAAATGAGGAAGTGCTTATCTTGATCAGATAGAAATGCTCTACAGTCCATTTAACATTATTTGAGTATAGTTCCATTTTTTTTTTTTTTGTCCATTTTTAAGTTCCTTCTCTTTTGGTTTTACACAGTTGCAGATTTTCAAGGTTTCAAGGTTCTTTATTTGTCAATGTGGTGGGATGAAATTATGTACACACGGTCCCAGTTACATCCAACAAAAGAATTAAAACGTAAAAGAAAAACAGTAAAATAATCTAAGAAATGAACTAAGAAAACCGAAAAATTTAATTAATTCATTATTCATTAATTTATTAGTTAATTTTAAAGTTAAACCTGAAGTTTTTCATGTATTGTTCCACAGAGAAACTTCATGCCACATGTTTTTCGGGATCCTCTCATGTCCTTTCATGCTTTTCAGACTTTCCATGTTATCTCACAGTCGCAGTAAGCTGCACTCGACCTTTTTATCTGCAAAATACAAGATTCCTCAGGAAATGTCTATCTTTAAATAAAATCAACAGCCTATTATTCCTTCAAGGAATGCATATCGCCCACTGCCTGTCGTGCTAGAGGTTTAGAAGACGATAATCTTCTGTTGTTAAGGAACAGAAATACTGTACAGCCAATTTGGTCAAAGATTGTAAATAATGCAATCTCATTTGAGTTTTCACAACATGCATTAGTATTTGTTGAAGATGACGCTCAGCTACAACCATACGAAATAAAGCTCAATAGCTATAAAAAACGGTTGAGTTATAGCCATTTTGGTGTTGGTTAAAGTGGATTGGCTGTGGCAGCCATCTTGAATTGGACAGACCCTGAGATTAATCAGCTGCAGATGTACTTTCAGACGTTTCTTTTTGAGCGTTTCACTGAAATCTGCTCAGCGGTTCATGAAATGGTTTGCTACCAGACTGACAAGTTTTAAGCAAAAAATGCTACACAATGTGTAGCACTCAAAGTATGTGTTATGAATGACTCTCAGCTACTACCAAACCATATGTAGCTCAATATTTGTAAAACTGACGGAGTTACAGCCTTTTTTTTTCTGCACCCATGAAGTCAAACACATCCAAACAGCAAGCTCTTATGTTTTGTGCTCTTTTACTTTCATCTTGGTGCACAGTACTGATGTGGGACAGTTAAACGATGAGCTACCTGTAACTTTTTTACTTGTATTTGATAACAGAGTAAAACTTTGTTAGATGTTTGTGTTTTATTTTTATTATTTTACACATTTATTACACAGCTGCTACTTGTAAATAACACACAGTTCTTTCTCAGTTATCACTCAGAGGAATGCCTCTTATCTCTGTCTTCACACATCGTCTTTCAAAACCAATACTCCATCAGGTAGTCATCCCCCCCACCCCCCACCCCTATAAAACACAGTTTCAGACTCTATTTTTAAAACCACCACCAGGTTGTTTGGATGTTGTTGACCTCTTTGCTTCAACTTTAGATGCTCTTATAGCTGCAATAAATGTGCTTTAAAAGTCAGTGCGTCCCGGCGGTTCAGGCGTCATCTTGTCTTGTCAGAACCGAATCGAGAACAAGACGGAGCAAATCCTTCAGCCAACGCAAACACTTGATTGAACAATGGTTAACTTGTCTGATGAATCCTGGACGTTTGAAGAGAAATGGCTGAAATATATAT